GTTCAGGGAACAGATAAGATAGAGGATTGCGGATTTTCCATCCAAGATGCAGCCGGTTAGGCGTCATCCCGGTGGAGGAGTGGATGGAGTTGTTGTACAACCCCTGCACAATCGGCAAATCCTCATCCCAAGAGTTCTGATCAGGTACAATTAGAGMCCTGAGAAGTTGGATCACGGTCTGGTTGATCTCCTCGGCCAGTCCATTGGCTTCGGGATGTCGACCAGATGTCAKCTTGAGTTTCATGTCGTAGGTCAGGGAGGTGAAATCTTTCCAATCTGCACTCATGAACCTAGTATCCCGATCACTCACAAGAGTCTTCGGGGGGCCATAATGCAGAATGTATCTCTTGTTAAACTCATTGATCACAAGGTCAGTTGGGGCGTGAGGTGGCAAGGGGATCAAATTCAGAAATTTCGAGAAACGATCAACGATCACCATTACTTGTGAATAACCGTTTCTGCTCTTCTTCCCCATGTTCGTGAAGTCAATGGAAACAGACTCACTCGGGCCATCAGGGATAGGAAGAGGGTGCAGCAACCCATAGGGCTTCTGTCGAGACGGTTTGATGCGTTGACAAACTTCACACTCAGCCACAAACCTTTGTGCCATTCTTTTCATTCCAGGCCACACAAACTTTTCCAACAGATTTTCGTATGTCTTCTCAACACCGAAGTGTCCACTCCAGCCGTGAGCCAAATCCAAGAAGTGGGTCATGACCGGCTCATGGTTGGGTACACACAATCGGTCATGCTTCCCGTAGCGTCGGAAGAGAAGGCCCTTACATTCATGGAAATCAGGTTGACTGCTAGGGTCAGCCCGAATCTGCTCAAGGATGGGACTGAGTACCGGATCCGTGGCAGTATGCTCGATGAGTTCCTCCTTCAAATTTTTACGCAGGTCATAGGGACCCACAAGGCAAGTCATGTACTCAGGGTGGCGAAACAAAGCATCCGCAACACGATTGTAACAACCCTTCTTGTGTCTAAGTTTGAAATCATACACAACAATCTCATGCAGCCAGCGGGTCAGTGTAGTTGAGGGATTGTTCAGTGTCTGAATCCATTCCAAGGTCTCGTGATCCGAGAACACTTTGAAATGGCGACCCTACAGATAGTGCTTCCAATGGTCTAGTGCCTCCCTCAAGGCATAGAGCTCTCGCATGTAAGTGGAGGCAGCTACCTTGTGACTGGGCATACGTTTGCTGTAAAATTCTAGTGGACGTAAGCCATCGCCATCATCTTGTTGCAGCACTGCACCAATCCCATACAAACTGGCATCCGTAGTTACTACGAATGTGAGTTTGGGATCTGAAATGCGGAGCACCGGATGACTCNTGGCATCCGTAGTTACTACGAATGTGAGTTTGGGATCTGAAATGCGGAGCACCGGATGACTCACCAAAGCCTCCTTTAGTGCTTGGAAGGCTGTCGTGCATTCCCCATCCCATGTGTAGGACACATTCTTGCTGGTCAATCTGGACAGTGGACGGGCGATGATATAAAATTTAGGCACAAACTTACAGTAGTATGATGCAAGGCCAAGAAAAAAACGCAACTCGCGGACATTCGCCGGTTGAGGCCATTTTTGGATGACCTCAACTTTGGTTGCCTCGGGCTCTAGGCCTGCAGCAGACAACCAATGTCGAAGGTAGATGACGTTGTCCCTCCCAAACTCAAATTTCTCCAAGTTGAGATGGAGCTGCGAGTCCTTGAGGATCTGCATCACTTCCTCAAGGTGTCTCATGTGCTCCTCCATCGATTTGCTGAAGATTAGTATGTCATCCAGATATACAACAACAAATCGGTTGATCTGATTGTGAAATACCTTATCCATGAGACTTTGAAAGGTGGTTGGCGCATTCGTGAGACCGAAGGGCACGACTGTAAATTCGTACAACCCATCGCGAGTTTTGAATGCAGTTTTATGCTGGTCTGCAAAATCGACTTCAATTTGGTGATAGCCAGACTTGAGATCGATCTTGCTGAAGACCTTGCATCCACCTGCAGCATCAAGCAAATCATCAATACGTGGCAAAGGATATGCATTCTTTCTGGTGATTCGGTTCAATCCGCGGTAATCAATACATATCTGTAGTTTGCCTCCTTTCTTAGGGACAAACAGAACCGGTGCACCAAACTCAGACTCACTCGGTTTGATCCATGCCTTCCCAATCATATCATCAATCTGCCTTCGCAACTCCTCCAATTCGCCTGAGCCCATTCGATAGACACAACCTTTTGGAGGAGTGCTACCTTCAATCAACTCGATCTTGTGTCGGACCGGACGCACGGGAACTCCATGCGGTTCGGCCAAGACTTCAAGAAATCGGTTGAGAAGGTTGCGAATTTCCAGCGGAACTTCCGGAGGGGGATCATCACTCTCAGGAGCAAGCATATCGGATGTCATAGGTGCAGCCAAAACAACAGAACTGGAAGTAGAGTCATTTGGACTTGAAGTAGATTTAGTAGAGGTAGAAGTAGTTGCCATAGAAGTAGAAACGACATGCAAAGTGGAATCATTATGTACAACAAAAATAGAAGGCACATGAGCAAGCCTAACAAAGGCTATATACATTTGCTCATCAACTTTGCGCCTGCGCCACTTTTTGCAGAATTGCATTGCATTGAGAAAAGTTACTTGGGATTCGTGCGGCTCATCCAAGAGGACTGGACGCTCGATTCCCATGGCATCTTTGACCATGAATTGTGAGTCCTTCCACGTGGTTCTTTTACATTGGGCCTCCAACCAGCCCAAGCCAATAACCGCATCGAAGGGGCACTGATCAAGGACACAGAAGTTCAACTCATGCGTGATCGTGCGATCAATGTCAAAGGTAGTGCACAAACCTTTGACTGCATGCGTAGATGTGACAACCTTTTGGTTGCCCACTTGGGTCCGACAAGGATTCTGCAAGGTCACTTGCTTCATCCCCAAGCGTGCCTTACGAATGTCGTGCGGTGAGAAGTAGTTAGCGGTTGCACCACAATCAGCCAACGGACAGATGTAACAGCCATTAATGTAGAGTTCGAAGAAGATCAACTTCGTTCTCCCTTGCGCGCGTTCTTGCTTCATATGAGCCCAGCGCGTCAACAAAGCATGGAAGTCAATTTCTTCCGACTCTACCCAAGGCTCCTTGTGTAAGATGTGTATTTTCTCAGCCTTGGAATCAGCATCAGATGGGGTTTCAAGAGAGGTTTGCTGAGTGGGATTAGAATCCAGAGAAGGATCTGCACTTACATGTTCGGCCTCTCCATCTGTAGAGTGTGCTGATGATGTCTCTACCCCCGTTGCTGGTTTCCCTGCTGCAATCTGAAACATTGTTGGACTGAATGTCTCGGTTTGGTGCAATGCTGGCAAACCCCTTTCTTCACCCTGTGTTTCCACTCACTTTCACTAATCCGGAGATCTACCCATGGTTTGGTGGCAGGATCCTCCGGTTTGGGTGGAATTTTCGCTCCCTTGGGAAGAAGAATGGTGTTAGTATTGTTCTTCATTGTGGTCCTCGGTCCCTTACTTTTAAAGGCAGTCTTTTTGAAGGCGTTCATAGACTCTTCGTCGTTCACATACTCAGACTCATGGGCTGACAAAGAGCAAGATGCCCCGCAGTCTTGCTCCTGATCGTCATCAAGAGAAGATTCCTCCACGAGGGTCTCCTCATCAGGCTCCAGCAGATCGTGTGCTGCAAAACGGTTGCTGCCTGTAAACCGTTTGCGCCAGGTGGTCCTTTTGCCACTTGATCCACCCGGGAGGTCTTGTGCCTCCAGCTTGACTAAGTCCCGGATGAGGGTAAGCCAATCTGTATATGCGCTGAGTCCGAGCCCTAGGCGATCTTTTATAGTAGAGGGGACCGTACCTTTTATCACATCCAGACAGGACTGCGCAGTCATCTCCAGATCCGGAGTAGCAAAGAGTTTACTAACATACTGTTGCAGGCTGTGCATGGTGCCGGTCCACTTGCTGTGCTTGAGCTTGTCAAGCTTGAGTCTAGCCTTAGCTGCAGCATGTGGATCAGCATACTGTTTGATCAAGAGCTCTTCGAGTGTGGCTACCGGCGTAGCCTTCAGCCATTAGTTCAGGTCTATCCTTTTATAGCCTGCTTGTACAGCTTGGATTCCCAAGAATCCTCTCACGACGGGCTCCACATTGCTCCCTAGGACCGACGACTGAGTAACTGGGAGTGTCCCCAACACATCAAAGTAGGATAGCATGGAGCTGATCCAAGATTCGATGTCGTCCTTTCCGTCATACTTAGGGAATCTGGGCTGCCTTTCTATCCATATAGGAAAAGCTGCAGCTTGGACCAGCGGCTGTTGGGTCCGAACTCGGGACTGTAATAGTTCCAGAATGCCCTGCATTACTACTTGCTGCTGCAGCGCGGTCTGGACCTGCTGCAGATCTGGATAGGCTGTTAGTCACACTCAAGGAAGAAGTAGTAGAAGTAGACACATTCAGAGGGGCAAGAACGGACTGACACGCAGCACTATAAGCAGGGTAAACAGGCGGAAGGATACTTTGGGCTGGCTGCACATTAGCGAATTGTTGCAGCTGGTCACGGTGCTGCTGCGCCATCAGGGCCATGTCGTCCCGCAACTTTTTGAGTTCGTCGAATACTTTGGCGAGTTGGCCAGTATGGTCCTCAACAGCCCGTACGTCTACCAAAGCCCAAAGGAGTGGAACCGTTTTCTCTCCCACCTCCTCATCAGTTAGGGCAGGCAAGGTACAGAAAATGGCTTCATGAGCCTTTACCTTCTCCTCCCTCTCCTTCTCTTTCTCTTCCTCCTCCCTCTTCAATGCTTTCTCATAGAAGAATCGGTACTGCGCTTTCTCTACCTCAGGGGTAGCGTCCATTTGCAACTTCCAATCTACTGCAGATGCCATGATAGAGGACGAAGGAATCAATAAGTCTCTCAAGAGAGGTCCGTACTTCCTTACTTGTCTGGGACGAACACTCCTCTTCCCTCTCCTCACTCCCTCAAGAGCAACACTCAGAAGCTTCTCTCTTCTCTCTCTCTCTCTCTCCTTTGCGATCATGTAGACGCAGACATTAATGAACCCAATGAAAGAAACAACTTGAAATCAGTCAGAAGAGAAGGTAGAACTCCTAGCCGGAGCGACAATGCATTTGGACTGGAGAGCAGTCAAAACAACATAAAAAAAGAAATAAAGATCAGAGAGATCTGATCCAGCCACACAATCTGGCCCGACTACATATGGGGTCCTCCCAAGCCTACCCAAACTCAGCTCCGTGAAGACACAGCAAATCAGATTCAAAGTGTACAGCGTAATGCAAGAGAGAATTGAGTGGTGTCCAAGGTGCGAGTCAGGCGGCGGATCGTGCCGTAAAGTCTGATAAAACGTCTCAGCGGAGATCCCCTCCGCAGTGAGTGTCCTGGTCCGAAAGCATAAAGTCTGCGTCCCAATCAGATAGAGCAAGGTAACTAACTTCAACAGATTTGGCATGAGGGGCCCTTCTTGTTTGGGCCCGGTCCCACTGAGTCCCAAACGGTCCTAGTGGAGTCAGAACCGGGTCCCAGCCAACAAGAGTTCCACAAAGGCCTACTTTGTCCCTACCAAATTGAAAAACGAAATTTTGCCCCAGAAAAAAACCTGTAGACTACAGTCGTTCAGAATGAAATAAACAAAGCACTGTAGAGAGATATCACATCGCAAACGAGATACTCCATTCATTCACTTGTCAGGTAAGTAGGCAGTTCACACACCTCACACACAATCAAGACTCTGGAGGATGGAAGAAGAACCCAGAGAACCCCAACAGGCAGTCAATTCCATGCACACACACATGGGCACCCTGGTGGCACGACACTTACCCAAGTGGCCGGGCTCTTGAGATGAAAAGAACTCACCCCCCTCTCACATAGTCCTCCTGACCCAATTAGCATCCTCTACACTAGTGTCCTATCGTCTAGGAGGGTCAACATCTACCCCAGAGTACAAAGTCGGATCCCCCGTCGATGTTGAAGATCAAAGCAGCAACTTGCAGTCCGTAGGTGCAGATATGGCTGCCACCCTCAAGCTCGCCTGAATTGAGAGGAGCCCTAATGTCACTCCTCGTCTTCCTTGAAGTCCAGATTCAAGTTGTAGGTGCCCTTCACTGTCGCCTCTCTCAAACTGCATCACGAAGTCCCACCTTGTGTCTCGCCACCACAAACATGCACTCAAGCAACCTGGTCGGGTCTAGTGTCGACCCTACACGGCCCTACCAGGTGGGGGCAGCTTCCCTTTACCACGCTGCCCCACTTAACCCTAACTTCCAGCCCTAACCCTAAGTGGTTAGCCCTTACCACTAGGGTTAGGGTTATGGCAGCAAAGTCAACTCTCGCCAGCAAGTAGAATCCGCTTTGATACCAATGTTACGATCCTGGCCAAATTCGAAGTATGCATTCATCTGAAAGTACAATGCCATCCAATTGCAAAAAGAAATGAATGAACTTGAGAGGAAAGAGAGGGAAAGAAGAAGAAGAAGAAGCGAGAAAGAAGAAGATGATGATGTACTCCAGCATAGACCAATGTCAAGGCTCTTCTTCTTCGCCAGCCAATCCCTTCCTCCTTATCTCCTCCCTCTTATCAAACAAGAAATAACAATAATAATGTTGAATGACTGAACCAGAATCAATGTCCAAATCCCACTTCTACTGCAGGCACAACATGAGGTCCACCATCGCCATGGCCACCCTTCCGCTTCCTCTACATTCAGGCCGAGGCTACGGCTGCAATGTGCCCAGTCGTGATAATCAGTCGTCACTCGCAAAGACAAAGTAGACGAACGCTGCTGATAAATCATAATAATAATGATCCCAAAACGAGAGAGAATACATACACAGACGAGAGAGGGAGGAGGGAGAATAGACTTTGAGACGGTGGAAGAGTGTTGCATACCGTATAAGTGCAGACCAGAACAAGAACCGACCTTTCAATACAAAGTATAAGATAGCACAGCGGAAGACTTAGATACTAATGATCCGAACAATCAATGTTGTAATGCAGCCCTGAACATACATCATCATCATCGTTTAATAGT